CAAATCACTAATCAAAATTAATCAAAATCGTCATATGATCATAAACAAATTAATTGATTGATGAAATTAATTATTAACTCCCTACGTATAATTTCCGAAAAAAGGCTAAAGCAGCACAAATCTGTTCGCAGATAGTTGCATTTGTCTAGTTATCTTTATGTGATAGTAATGTGTATGGTTGATATGATTAGATACTTTGGCATATCAGTTATATCAATGTAGTTGCTCGTGATCTTTTTTGATGGTGGCAATCAGAAATTAATTTGGATGACATTTACCCGTATGAACATATTTTGACTGAAGTTATCAGAATATCGTCACTGCTGCAGTGAGAAAGAATACTGAAAATTCTAAGTTCATTTCTGTGTGTGAAATAAATTTCTATCCCGCAAATAAATTTTCAGTTATTCGTTTTTTCAATGTGCAAGAGACCAATAACTCAGCAACTGCTCTGGCTAGTGCAACTACATAATTAGTTGTCCCATATATCACTACTGATATATTTTGTTTCCTGGTTAGCACAACCAGGTTTATGAGTGGGGCCAACCATACTGGTTATTCCGTGCAACAATTAATGTCAACGGTCGATTAAATTATTTGCAACCACATGTGTGGCAACTAATTAATCTCGGAGATTGTCCTGCCGATTATTTTAATGAAAGAAGTTTTGAGTCGATTAATAGCCCAACACTTTGTAGCAAGAATGTAGCGAGCTCCAGCAAGGATGACTGTTACCTAACAGTTCGAAGAGGAAAACTGGCTAATCCAACCGATTCTCCGAGCACGTGCCGGCAACGAGATAGCTCGGATCGTTCTGCAGTGGACGGACCCATCGCGCCGGTGCGTGCGTGTGTGTGTGTGTGTGTGTGTGTGTGTGTGTGTGTGTGTGTGTGTGTGTGTGCGCGCACATGTAAATCGCGGGTCTATGAGCCGCGGTAGCAGCGCGCGCGAGCGCTGGCGCACATTCAGAGCCGGTACTCTCGCAGCCGTGTCGCGGCACGTCCTTGTAAGGCCACTTGCCCAGCGGTGCACGCTCGCGCTCAGCATCACCTCGCCTTGCCTTGCCATGCCTCGCCTCGACACGGCACGGCACGGCGTAGACGAGCGTGGCGTATGCGTGCGTCGCGTGTGCACACGTGCCGACGTAGTGGTGGCCGAGGTGCACTGACGCAACGCGCGCGCTTGCTCGTAAATCGATTTCGAAGGAACGAACGGGAAGAGGTCGCGCGCAAGAAACTGCGAGCTCGCCTTAAGCAAAAGACCTCTCCCGGACTTCGCCGGTCGGCTCGCCTCGTAACGACTGGTATTGTCGTAATGGGTGGTGTTATCGTTGCTCGATCGTTACCTCGCGACCGACCGACCGATCGGCCAGCCAACCGGCTGGCTGGCTTCCACCCGAGGACAATGTTTGTTAGAAATTAATGCGTGCTGTGAGCGCGGCGATAATGAGAAGTTGCGTTTTGCGAATTCCAGATGACGACGCGCGTTTTGCGAATCTCAAGTCCGCTCGTTTTCGAAGAACTTCTCCAAGTTAGAGGGAAACAAGTATATTTTCTTTCGCTCTAACTTAACGCATACTAGCTCAGAAGAATTCTTGGAAAACGAACAGACCACTTTATGAAGAGTATTCAGCGTACAAGACGTTAGCTGTGGGTAGCAATGAGGCGAATTGTATCTTTGTTATTATCACGACTCGATGTACTTGAAGTGGTGGATAAAGTCTCCGCAACGTTTAATCCTCTCATCTTTTTAAATCATAGCAGATACAAATTAGATATATTTTGTATTCGGTTTCTCAAAATTCTTCAAAAGAAAAATGGCAATAGAGAAAAAAGAAATCTATATGTTAAAAAAGAGAGGAAGAGACTTGTCCCTTGAGGGAGTTGCGCGGTCATTTTGAATCGCCGCTGAAGAGATTAATCGAATTAACTTAAAGTGAATGTCAGATTAAAATTTTTATAAGTTCATCTAATCGGGGCCCAGAGGTGTAAAGGAGGAAGAAAACGGCTAAGAAAATTAATTCGTAACGTCATATACCGGAAGTTCCAGCGTAGCGCTTGTTTGTCAAGTCCGTCGCTCGCAATCCCGGAGGGTCGTTGCGAGCTTAATTGCATAATTTCGTATCGTGGCACCTCGTATATTGATTACGCCTGGCGCGTGGATGAGCGGCGAAGACAAATCGCGCTTTAAGATTCTCATCGCGCCGCACAATTTCCTATGCTAATTCTCGCGGCTGTTGCGAGGAACGTCCATCTAGCAGGTTACTTCGAGCGCCGCGTTGCATCCGGCCAAGGGAGAAAGATGGAAAGATGAAGATATATGAATAGAGACAGGGAGAGAAGGATAGAGAGAGAGAGAGGAGGGGGGGAAGGGGAGAAAGAGGACAGGATCGATCGAAAGCACGCCAATTATAACGAGATCATTTAACGAGCAGCACGAATCGGCGGCCTTTTAGACGCACGTCCCTTACCAAGCGGAAGTGACAGATTGGATTCGGCCCGAAACGAATGCTATGCTATCGAGCGGTCGCTCGTGGTCGAATCTCGAAATAGAGTGAACGGGATTGCATGTAGAAAGTTCTCTGAATTCGAAGGTAACGTAGAAATTTTGAAAAATTCGGGGCTGAGATAACTAAATGTAAAGCGCGAATTACATATTAATCTAAAGTAAAAGTATCACTGTCTAGACACGTACTTGATCTGTTTTGATCCTTAAAGATATTTAAATTTTCGACATACGTATTTAAAGACTAAGCAATGAGAATGTCCAGAATTAGGTGCACTGAGAGAAAAAAGATCTAAAAAATAGTAAATATTTATTCAGTGCATACTGATAGCATATTTACTTAAAAATCGAAATTCTTTTATTTAAATAGGATAAATTGCTTTCAGGTTTTTTTAAGTTCTAAGGAAATTTCTTATTTGAAAAATATTTTATATTAGTATAATATATTTTATATTAGTATAAATAAATATGTACTATTAGTACCCACTAAATAAATATTATTTGTTTCTTAGATATTTTTTTTCTCACAGTGTACATGTCCAGGCATTGGTATTTTTATCTTAAAGAATCTAAGTTTCGATTCGCGAACATACAAATGTAAGGACTCGCATGCAAGTGTAATTGAATAGTACAATCGTGTCAGGTAAATAAAATTTGGTATTAAAATAAAATAAAACAAAAAGTAAAATAAAATAAAAAAAATAAATAAAATAAAATTTGGTACTATATACTATTTTTGGATCTAAATTGTTATTGAATATATTCTGGTGACTCGACTTTCCGGAAGAGACGTTTAACGGTTAAAAAACAGCTCGTTCGCGAATACACGCGCGCGGCATGACCGAAGGGCCCTTCGTTCGACTCGTCGTGTCGTATATCGAGAGTCGATCTCTCTCGTACCGCGCGATATCTTCGGCCGCGGGCAAAGCCGAAGAGACTGTCGAAAGTGAAAGGAGGCGAAGAAATCAAGATGGATCGTGCGTTCGTTATAACGCAGGTTTTCTCGCGGCACGCACCTTCCACCTTCTTCCATGTATCCAAGGACTCGTGGTGAGCGCAATCGATACCGCCGATCGATAGCGTTCGTTTCGCTCATCGTAAGTGACGAACCCGAAGAAGCGGCCGATCGCTCTTACGAAGCATATCGCGCTAAATTGCGATGTTAATCGCCAATTCTTGTCAATAGCAGCTGGTTTCATTTTTGGGTCGGAGAAAAAAGAATTATAATATATTTTCTGTGATGACCATACTTTGACGAGTATACATTGAAAAAAGGATTTGGTTTAAGAGATCAAAATTTGGTTAAAATGGGATCAAATGTTTGATAATTGCAATAAAAAAATTTAATTGCCGCTTTTTTGCTTTGTCTAGTGACTATTTAGTGACCAAGTAAAAATATTACTGAAAAAAAATGAAGCAAAATACGGTAATTAAATTTTTTGGTTGTAATTACTAAATATTTGATTAATCCCATTTTAACTAAATTTCGGTTTCGTCAACCAAATCCATTTTTCAGTGTACGCTGAGAGAGAAAAAATATTTAAAAAATAAAAAATATTCAGTAGGTACCAATAACAAATTTGCTTATACTAATATATAAAATATTTTTCAAGTTAGGAAATATACATTTTCTTGAAATCTTAGCTTTTCACATGAGGGTAATTGTTTATTCTATTTGAGTAAATAATATTAGCAGTACCCTCCGAATATATATTTTGTATTTTTTAGGTATTTTTTTCCTCATTGTGTGTTGTATGTGTATGTATGTATATAAAAAGGAATCAAGCTGTCAAGTCATATAAATATACTTGAATAATTAAATCATGTTAGGTAAATGAAATTTTGGATTGATAAGAAATTTCGCAGAGTGCACAATTAAATGCATTTGTGATGTGACAGCAACCATTCTTCTTTCGAATCGTGAATTTTAACATTAGAACACTTTAATTTGATGTTTTCATCAAGAACGTTTTAAATTTTCTACAGAGAATAAAAGAAATTAGACTCTTTTTCACGGAAAATGCAAAAGAACATTTCTGGTTATCATTATGTTCAGAATGCTTTTGTTAGTATTTCGTGTTAGTTGTTTCTCGTACACATATAACTTCAAAATCATCGTTGGTAAAAATATAATAAAAATATATTCACTCACTGATCGATACGTCGACGATATTCCTTTTTGTTTACTTCTTCTTTGCTGCAGACTGATCCTTCGTTCCATCTCATATATTATACAGGTTAATTAGTTTCCTAGTCATTCTACGCTTTGCATAATATACGCACATATCACTTCGATCGCGAATAAACGACGCGACATGCATGACGGTCGCTCTTACGTTCTTGCAGCACTCGCGATACTCGGAACGCGCGACTCACTCATAATCCGTGACAAAAATCCGAATGATCCCCTCACTAATAACGTTTTTAACGAATTTGCGGCAGTCTTCAGCGTTCGTCGTTCGAACGCTGGCCTGTGTCGTAATGGCGGGACTAATCATTGTAAAATACGTTTTATACATTCCACGCGTTGAACAGCGTTTATTTCGTACGATCTTTTATGAGTTATTTCTCTTGCCTATCTTTGATACTTCTCGTCCCGATAAACTATTCGTCCGAATATGGAAGACGATCATTTCTCGCTGAATCGGTCCGATAAAGTATCGCGAGAACGGCCGTATATCGAAGGACGCGTATTTACTTTGCAATTATTGTAATATTTTACATATAACATTACTTACTACCGCCATCGTTCCGTTGTCCTTACTCGACCCTGAATCTTCTTTCACGTTTCGGCTTTCACGGGCATTGATCACACGAAACATTGTCAATAACGATCTTGCACAGATTAATACGTCATGACGATTGTCCTCTACCGCGACATTGATTAGACCGTGCGTAATGGCGACAAAACGACACTCGACGACAAACGACTGGCGGCGTACACTGAAAAAAAAAATTTGGTAATACTTATCAAATGCGTTTTACCGTACCATTTGGTAAATAGTAACCAATATGGTAAATGTTACCAAATGTTTGCTAATAATTACAAAATTGTTAGTAACATTAACTTTCATGTAGTAATATTCACTTCTTATATTTAGTTGATGCTATTTCACTAAATGTAGTAATTATAACACAGGCTGGATAATTATTACCAGAAATTTTTCTCAGTGTACCGAAGGACGCGCGCCTACTTTGCGACGATTGCGATATTTTAGATACAGCCTTATTCACCACCATCGTTCCATCGCACTTTCCTGTTTCCGAATTCTTCCTCACGTCACGGCAGCTGCTCCTACGGGCACACGTCGATCATACGAAGGACTGTCAATAATGATCACATACCGAATAATGTAAAGCCACGATAAATGTTCGTTACCTTATGCGACAGTAATGGTGATTGATCCGCGCGTAATGGCGACAAAACGACTGTGGCGATATACCGAAGTGGCGGCACGTCTCGTTGCAACGTTGCGATATTTCAAATATAGCATCATTTACTACCGCCGTCGCTCTGCTGTCCCTTCCTGCCTCCGAATCCTTCCTCGCGTCTCGACAGATGCTCCTACAGGCACATATTGATCACATGAAGGATTTCAATAATAATCTCGTACCGAATAATACGTCGCAACAAATGTTCGTTATTCTACGCGACATTGATGGTGTTTGGCGCGTAATGGCGACGAAACGACTGTGGCGATGTACCGAGGTGGCGGTACGTTTCGTTGCAACGATCGCGATATTTCATATACATCATCACTTACTACCGCCGTCGCTCTGTTGTCCCTTCCTTCCTGTCCCCGAATCCTTCCTCGCATCTCGATCCACACATCGATCACACAAAGGATTTTCAATAATGATCACGTAACGAATAATACACTACGACGATAATTCGTTCTTCTACGCGACACTGACGGTAATTGGCACGCGCGTAATGACGACAAAACGGCGGTGGCGGCGTACCGAGGGACGCGCGCCTACTTTGCGACGATTGCATTATTTCAAACGCAGCCTTACTCACCACTGCCGTCGCTCCATTGCATCTTCTTGTTCCCGAATCCTTCCTCGCGTCTCGGCAGATGCTCCCACGGACACGCATCGATCACGCGAAAGTCTGTCAATAATTATTACGCACAGATTAATACGCCACGACAATTCGACGTTCTACGTGACATTTTCCCGCGCGCAATGGCGGAAAAACGACGGTGGCGGCGTACCGAGGTGGCAGTACATCTCATTGCAACGATCGCGATATTTCAAATACAGCATCACTTACTACCTCTGTCGTTCTGCTGTCTCTTCCTGCCTCCGAATTCTTCCTCGCGTCTCGGAAAATGCATTGATCGCACGAAGGATTTTCAATAATAATCACATATCGAATAATACATCACGACCATAGTTCGTTACTCTACGCGACACTGACGGTGATTGGCTCGCGCGTAATGACGACAAAACGCCGGTGACGGCGTACCGAGGGACGCGCGTCTACCTTGGAACGATTGCGATATCTCAGACACAGCCTTACTCACCACCGCCGTCGCTCTGTTGTCTCTTTCTGCCTGCGAATCCTTCCTCGTGTCTTGGCAGATGCTTCCACACGTCGATCGCACGAAGGATTTCAATAATAATCTCGTACCGAATAACACACCACGATTGTTCATCATTGTTACTGTACACACACTGACGGTGATTGGCCCGCGCGACGAGAGCGACGGTGGCGGCGTACCGAGGGACGGGCGTCTATTTTACAATTGCGACGTTTGACATACAATACTCCTTAAACCACGGCCGTCGCTCTATCGTTCTTTCTGCTTCCGAATCTTTCGTATTTCGGCAAATTCTCTCACGCATTAATGCGTTGCATGCGAGAAGTACCAACACACTGAAATAAGTCTCGCCCGAATATCGCAGCATGTTGCCTAACATAACACACTGCTATTTGCACTGTTAATTGCACTCTACACGACGGGTTTCACGCAAGATGGATCCGCTACGCCGACAGAATTTCGAAGGACTCCACGAATCTATTCTAGGTAGGACAGAAGCCTCAGTGTAAACAAACCGTCAGGCACGGCGCTCGACCGCGTATTGTTTTGGTCGTGGGCGTTTTTTTGCCTCGCGACTTTCTGGAAAGCGGGGGCAGTCGCGCTTGGACGCCGCGAGTGGCGCGACGCGCTGCGCAGTAGTCCGGCTCGCGTTCACTTTATATCTATCACTTATCGTATAAGGCTTATCGTATAAGTACGATCGGCTTGTGCGTAGATCGTGCTTTGCACCCCGAAAGTTGAGTACGGGCGATTATCGTCAATCAGCTCGCGCGTATAGTACGTCGCGACGTTTGTGAACGCCAGATGTTTTCACACACTATTGCGTATGCAGAGCTGTCTCGTCGCGTCGGTAAAAAGATTTGGAATATTTCGGAACATTTACAGTGTCAAGCGGACTCTGTCCTCAAACTCGTCACACGGGTAGACGGAGCGTCTCTGTGCGCGTAAGTCGAAGGGGAAAAACACCAGTGCGCCCGGGCTCGATTCTTATCATTGATTTGACACGTCATCGTATTTACAAATTTGAAGTGTATTGACGCACAGTCGTGTCGGCAATGCCGTGTCTGGAACATCGCGATTGTCATAAAGAGAAGTGCTGCCAATTTCGCTACGCCGCTAGTGTCGTTTTGTCGTCATTACGCGCGGGCCAATCACCGTCAGTGTCGCATAGAGTAACGAACTATCGTCGTGGCGTATTATTCAGTACGTGATCATTATTGAAAATCCTCCGTGCGATCGATGCATTTTCCGAGACGCGAGGAAGAATTCGGAGGCAGGAAGGGACAGCAGAGCGACAGAGATAGTAAGTGATGTTATATTTGAAATATCCTTCATGTGATCGGTGCAACGAGACGTCGGTTCGCCACCTCGGTACGCCGCCACCGTCGTTTTGCCGTCATTACGCGCGGGCGAATGTCACGTACGACATCGAGTTGTCGTGGCGTATTAATCTGTGTATAATCGTTATTGGCAGTCTATTGTGTGATCGATGGGTGTCTGTGGGAACATTTGCCGAGACGCGAGGAAGGATTCGGGGAAAGGAAGGTACAACGGAGTGACGGCGGTGGTGAGTAAGGTTATGTCTGAGATATCGCAATCGTCGCAAAGTAGACGCGCGTTCCTCGGTACGTCGCCACCGGCGTTTTGTCGTCATTACGCGCGGGCTAATTACCGTCAGTGTCGCGTAGAAGAACGAACTATCGTCGTGGCGTATTATTCGGTGATCATTATTGAAAATCCTCCGTGCGATCAATGCATTTTCCGAGACGCGAAGAAGAATTCGGAGGCAGGAAGAGACAGCAGAACGACAGAGGTAGTAAGTGATGCTGTATTTGAAATTTCGCGATCAGTGCGACGAGACGTACCGCCACCGCCATTTTGTCGCCATTACGCGCGACATGTCACGTAAAACATTATTTGTCGTGGCGTATTAATTTGTGCATAATCGTTATTGATAGTTTTTCGCGTTGATCGATACGTGTCCGTGAAAGCATCTACCGAGACGCGAGGAAAGATTCGGGGACGGGAAGATGTAACGGAGCGACGGCAGTGGTGTAACTGCTTGTCCACAACCTTGCTTTAATCTTTAAGCCGTAATAAATAATTATTTTAAAAATAATCAACTGTGGTTGGTCAATTTCTTACGGTTTAAAAATTAAAGCAAGATTGTGGACAAGAAGTAAGACTGCGTCTGAAATATCGCAATCGTCGCAAAGTAGGCGCGCATCCCTCGGTACGCCGTCACTATCGTTTCGTCGCCATTACGCGCGCGGGAATGTCACGTACAACATCGAATTGTCGTGGCGTATTAATCTGTGCATGATCGTGCATATTGATAATGTTTCGTGTGATCGATGTGTGTCCATAGGAACATCTTCCGACACGCGTGGCGAGATATGGAAACAGAGGAATGATAGCAGAGCGATGGCAACTTTAAAAGCACAGTATCTGAGATATCGAAATCGTCGTAAAATTTGCACGCGCCTCTCAGTATAACGACACCATCGTTTTCATCGTCATTATGGGCAGATTAGTCTTGCGTAGAATAACGCACAATCGTCATAGCATATTATTTGTTACGAGATCATTATTGCCAATCCTTCGTGTGGTCGACGTGGGAGCACTGCCGAGACGCGAGGAAGGATTCGGGGACAGGAAGGTGCAACGGAACGGTGGTGGTAAGTAATGCTATACTTGAAATATCGCAATCATCCCGTTCTTCGATACGCTGCAACCGTTGTTTTTGTCACCATTACGGACGAGCGTATTACCGTGCTTGTAGAATAACAAATTGTTGTGGCGTATTAATTTGCGTATGATCGTTATTGACAATATTTCGTTTCAGAGATATATGCTCGTGGCAGCATCTACTGAGACGCGAAGAAAGATTCGGGAGCAGGAAGGGAGTAAGTTTCGTAAATTAACAGTCGGTGAGATTATTGTTTGTTTATCATACTCAAATCCTTAAATGGTACACCTGAGACATTCGTGTGTATCCGACCGGTTTCTCGTTCGCGTCGTGGTTCCGAAAACGCGTTGTTGAAATAAATTATTTGAAAAATGAATTTGGCTCTAAAATCTCGCGCGCATAGTCATACAGATATCGTACTACTTAAAGTAATTTATAGGGAATCTTTTTATGCACACACGAAAACACCTTATGGGCCCAGGTTTTGGTGAATTAGAACGTCGTAAAACGCGGCGCCAAGTGAGAATTAATTTATTTGTCGTGTTAACATCAGTTTAAGATATTTTCTAGACTGATAATTTACAATAGATTGTATCTTTTTGAGTTTCACTGCGTTTCAATAAGAAAATTACTCATTTGACAGTGCAATGAATTGAAGGCCGGTCTTTTTATTATTGTATTGCGCAATGGAAGAAATAATAATTATGCACGAAATGTAATTCCCATACGAAGCGATCGCACATTTCGTTATTGCATTCTTCGTGTAGACAGCGTTCGGTAATTTGAGCCTCCGAAGTTGTAGGAACCAATACTTACGCTCGTGCCTCGGTACTCAAAGTTGCCTTGGGACGAATTCCGTTATGTTTTCGTCCATAAAGCCTAACCGCTGTCCGTTACGTTCCAGCGAAAAGGCCTTAACGACGCTCGTTATAACAATTTCGGCGCATCGCCGCACACCTTTTCGTAAAAAAGACCCCCGGAACGGGTAAAGTACAGATTTTTTCGCGTTAAATAACGTACATATTCGTGCAAAAAGTAACGCGTGAATATATGAACACTCGAGATAAATATATTTGAAGACCTCAAATATCAAATTAGCGTCATGAAAAGACAATATTCTTTTCTTGAGATATGTCACGCTGAGCAAAATAATATTTGATATTCTGATGAACTATATTATCACATAGAGAAATAATTATTATAAATTGTGATCCAGAAAACCATTTTTTTAAATTAAATTCTAATATCGGTGATAATAATAACCTTATGCATATGCCACTACTATCATCTTCATGTTCAACCAAGAAATATGATTAAAGTAACTTTATAATTTAGATTAACCCATTTTCTTTCTCTCAGTGCATTCGCGTACGATTTTTAGAATTTGTAAACATTTCACACACGGAAACTTTCTCTTCGACGAAATAGCCAAGCAACGGTTAATATGTAGCGCGATGCATGATATTGCAATGCAAACAATAAATACGATGAGCTATGCGAGCTCTCATTTATCGATATCAATAAGCGTTTAAAAATCGCGAACATGGAGATAGCAAAATAATCGCGCACTCCGATGCACGAACGATAAAGCGCTGAAACGCGCTGGTAGTCGTTTACTAATGTCCAAGATAAACATCCGAAGACCGCGAACGCTAAATAGCCAAAGCGACCTGATAACTGTACACACATCACACACACGAACCCTGTGCGCGTCTGTGTATATTCCAAAAAAACCTCAACTATCCAAACATTACCCAAATTCTTCAGGTATACTCTCGGGCACTGAGAGAGAAAGAAAGAGAGAGAGAGAGGGAGCGTGCAAACGCTCTCTCAAATATCGCGGTAATTTCTCCGTCGAATATAAAACGAAGAAAAACGGTACGGGGGAGGGAAGAGGGGGACAGCAATTTCATCGCACGTATTCCGTTAAGATTCGTACCTCTCTTAGTGAGCAGCGTGCGTTTCGGCTGGTTTCGTCCGACCCAGCGGGATGCAGCGTGATAGACTCACTCTCTTTCTCACGAAAAAGAGATGGAGACAGCAAGATGCGCTCCAGATTGCCGAAAGAGACATGCACGCGAGCGCACTCGTAATCGCCGACTCCTCCGGGGCGAGAAGAAAGAGAGAAGAAGGCCCTCACCGCGCCCTGGTAATTTCGTGCGCGCACACGCAGGGGATATAACGGCGCGAGAGCGCGGAATCGGTGTCGTGGCGTGGAGGGTGGCGCGTTTGCGGCGCGGGGGGCTGGTGGGGGAGGCGTTAGCCGAGCGGTACCACGAATTTAACGATTCCGCCGACTTTACGACGGCGATCCCGCCCTTATTATAACGCGGCTCGGCCGGTTTCGCATCGCCCTTGGGAGACACTCGCGAGCTCTGTGTGAGCCCCTGTCCAGGCACCCGCGCCATTACGTCATTAAGGCGTCCAATAAACTTCTTTTACTACTTCCTCGAGAGTGACCGCCGCCCGCTCCTCTCACGCAGCTCTCCACGGCTTGTCCGCGTTGCGTCG